TACATTTTTTTGATGTAAACACACTTTGTTTTCAAAAATTTTCGAAAATTTCAAATCGGAATTTCGAAAACTTTGAAATTTTGCTTTGTTTTCAAACATTGGACTGTTTATTTTGGTTTCCAATGTTTATTTACATTTTTTTGACTGTTTATTATGTTTTCCAATATTTATTTACATTTTTTTGGTGTAAACACACTTTGTTTTGTAAAAATTCACTTATCAACTAATTATACCTACAGCCCAGTTTAGATTGTGAAATAATGGAAGGAAAGAAATTTTCACAATCTAAACTGAACTATAGGTTGCGTAGTTCTTAGCTTGATATCGTTTTACCAAACATTAAAGTCTGTAAAACGATATCAATTACCAAAACCCACCACGTGGAGGTGACTACGCACGGGTCTCATTATTATGTATCAGTACCTTTTCATAAATTTATTAATATATTTATCACACAAGTCACAACTTGTATTGAATTTAAGTATTTATTTGTTAGTTTAGTATTTATTTGTTAGAAAGAGGAATGGTATTCGTAAAATAAGGCATAATTGTTTGATTAATCTAAAGACTAATTAAAAATATTGAGGAAATATTCTTGTTTGACAAATTAATAGTGAAGGACTAAATTATTTCTTGAATTATACATTCAGAGAGAAATTCTGAAAGTATTTAGTAACATTTAAATAGCAATAGTATTGTTAAACTAATATTATTTATGTACATACAGAAATATAACGTATATACGGTAATTGTTAAAGAATGATAACTATCAAAGTATATTTTGTACGACTACGAAACAAGTCATGGCAATTGAACTCGTATTCAAGTTCAAATAATCACGATCAGGCATTAACCCAACACCAAAGAAACCAAACCATGCAACTTACCGATCGTTGAAGTCAGAATTATAGGTAAAGGTTTGGTTGCAGAAATGTTATTTAAAAATTCACTCCTAAATTTTGGTCGATGTGCAAACGACGGAAGTTTAATTGGTAATGAGCTCTTGTCTCCGTATCGATCGACATTTACCCGATCTTTCGATCGTTAATGATATGATACAGATAATGAAAATTTTTTAGAAATGTATTAGTGACTCGATTACTACAAATGATTAGTTGAAGATTCTAAAAAGTACTTAGAAATATTACAGAAGAGAACTTGGAAAGAGAATTAGAAATATTAGATAATGTTTAAAGAACTTAGAAAGAGAATTAGAAATATTAGATAATGTTTAAACAATTAAAATATTCAGAAATATTGTTTAAAAATTCATTCCTAAATTGTGGTCGATGCGTACACGACGGAAGTTTAATTGATAATGAGCTCTTGTCTCGGTATCGATCGATGTGGTGAAAGTAACTCGGCACGCAGCTTAAAGAATTTTATGTCAGATCGCGTAACAAATTCAATTCCATTTTTTTTAAAAAACGAATATCAAAGATCGTTTCTTTTCTATAAGCTTTGTTTAACGTATATATTTCGTTAACTCGATGTCTGACACGAAACAGAAAAGAACAGCGTAGCTGACGTTTTGACAAAGTATGCCGCAATCACCGCGTTAATTCTACCTTGACGCGACGCCTACACTTTTTATTCGACAGCGTATATATTCAACAAAATCGAAAATAAACGACGTCCCTCGGGACATC